TTCATGCATTTGCATTTTAGGTTGTTATTTGCATTTTTAAGGTTAAGTCGTTAATTAATTGCATTATTAAACAAAATCACAAAAAAAAATGTTTCATTTTTTACATTTTTAGCTTTTAGTTTTAAATCAGTAATTTTCTTTCATTAATTTAGGATTCACTAATTATGTAAATAATATAAATAGATAGTTAGTTAAAATTTTACAAATTAAGATAATTTGGTACTTAATATAGGATTTATTTAAATTAATTAGATTTTTAAAATTAAAGAAAAGGGGTGTAGTTAAGTTTTGGCCGAATTGGGCCAGTTTAAACCAGCTCAAATCCACACACCCAGTCCAAATCGCCCAAGCCCAATACCCAGTCCAGTCTTAAAACCCGCCTAACAATAAACGGCACCGTTTTGGTGCCAACTGATCTCAGTCGTTGATCCTTTTGGATCCAACAGCTCGGAACTCCCTCTCTATTTAATATATAAGTGTCCTAAACTAACCCCCATACCCCTCAAAGACTCCTCAGAACTCCTCTCCTCTCACCCTCACTCTTCACCACACCGGAAATCACACCACCATCCACCGCCACTCAAACCACCGATGACCGCCGGCCGGACTTAACCAAATTGCCTCAAACTTACATCAATCTATTCCTCTTCTTCTCCTCTACCCCACCCCACCAACATCAAGATACAATATTAGCCCAAAAATGAAACCCTAGCAAGCCGCTGCCTTACACCGCCGTCGAAAATCGCCCACGGCGGCGGTCAACTTCCAAATCACCTCAAAATCACACCCTATAATCCCCTCATCACCCTCAACACAGATCCACCATTGGTTTCTCCAAAAATCCCGTCAAAATCTCTTAATTTCAGATCTAAAAATACCCAAACCCTAGATCCGCCCCCGTTTTCAAATTTTTTCTTTTAATCATCCCTCAACTAGTTTGTTTAAAGATCCTCGTGCCAAGATCTCTCATCAGGGGTTTCAAATTCCAGATGGGTGTCTTGGCAAGAAGGTTTTTAGCAACTAGATTTCCTTTTGCCCAAATAGTTCGTTAGGTATACTTTCTTTTTCATATTTTTCTTTCCTGTGTTTTCTTTTTTCATTTATCTTTATGTTTTTTACTAATTTTATGTTTATTTTTTTCAGTATTACTGTTTTTTATTTGTTTGCTATTATCTTGTTTAAATTAATTAAATAGAATTCTTGTTATTTTTTTTTAGTTGTTTAAGAATTGGGCTTCATTGAAGTGACCCATTCAACTTGGCTCAGAAATTGGGCATGTTTGTGATAGACAGGCCCATAGCTTTGGTAAAGCTTAAGAGTCCAAGGTCGTCTTTAGACCAAGAGTCACACGACTCAGGCCCAGAATCAGTCTGGTTCTGAGGCAATTTCAAGGCCCTGAAAGGTCAATTTTGGAATCTTAATTTTTAAATTTTTCAGTAGTTGTTAAGAAACTTCTAGAATAGGGACAACTGTCCCAACGCTGAGTAGGAAAGGATAGGGATAAGATCCCAAATATCCAAAAATTGGACAGTTGTCTATTTTTTGTGATAAGAAGGTACTAGAAATTGGACAGCTGTCTATACTTCTGTTGAGGAAAGATGTATTTTTTCCGATTTTAGGGAATGCTGGTAGATTCCTTTTTGGTACCTTGACCCTTATCCCTTTCACTCCCTCACTCTATATAAACGCTCACCTTTTTCTTTATTAGACAGACCTACACACACAGAGATAGACACAAAAATACACAGATACATACACACAGAAAAGTCCCTAAAAATACACTTATTCTGCACTGCTTTTGAGTCTCATTCTTTCATTTTTAGCAAATAACTCCTACTGGTTTCATACTTTTGCTGGGATTTTTGAGTTTGAATTTGAAGCTGTTTTGGTTTCCCGTTTGGTATTCCCTGCCGCTGTTTTACTCAAGCTTTTCAGAGACACATTTTCTTTATCTGTTTGTTTTCTTGCTGCTATCAAGGTACTATTCTAAACAATGTAAAGGTTTAATCTCGTTGTTATCCTGACTATGAATTTGCTGTTTACAAGAGTTTGTATTTTGTTTAAATATGGTCTGGTGTATGATTTAAATTACTGCATGAATCATGTGGTTTGAAGTTATTTAGTTGGAAGTTATGTGTGAACCCATGTAGAACTAGTCATTTATACTGTTTATTCTATTTAAGTTATATTAGCATTATGTTAAAAATGTTCTGAAAATTGCTAAAATCAGTTTAAGCCTCATGTGTTCATCTAGAAGATTTATACGTTTGCATGTAATAGAAGAAGTAAAAACGGTATTTTTCTTTTAAGAAACTTGTTAGAGTTGTAATAGGTAGATTTGGTCATCATTAAAGAATTAATTTCATCATTTAGTTAATAAGCTAGTCCTTTCTATATCTTTATTGTATAATGAGTTAGTTTAATATATTAATAGCTTTACTCTTTCATTCAAAACAATTAAACATAGTAATTCCAATTTGTTAATTTCTGGATCATGAAACTTGGGTTATTACGAGCAAACTGGACAGTAGGCCATAATACATTTTCAGGCCCAAATCAATTGGGTCCATGGAATTGTATTTTAGGTCTCGGCTAATAAATCGAGCTGATAGTTTGATTAAAAACATTTACATTCTAAAACTTTAAATACACAATGATTTTTAAACTTATCACTTTAACATAGTGCTAACATAAGAAGTAAAAGACTTAGGTAGAAAATTATCGAATTGAACCAGATTTTGATTTACTTTACTTGTGTCCCAGCGCCCTTAGCATACTGTTTTAAAAAGGTAACTGATATATAAGTAAAATCCTATAATTCCCATTACAAAATTTGTCTCAAATTCAGTCGAATAAATATGCATTGGGCCAGAGTCATTTGGATTCATCATCGCTAGGCCCAAATCATCTTTGGATTAATTCTATTTAGCTATTAGTAGAATGTGCATTGGGCCAGAGTCATTTGGACTCAGTCATCACCAGGCCCAAATCATCTTTGATTGAATTCATTTAACTGCTCTAAAACATGCATTGGGCCAGAGTCATTTAGACTTAGTCAGGCCCAAGTTCTGTTCGAATTAAATTCATTAGCTGGTCCAAATAGTGGACGATACGCGTCTTGGGCCAGAGTTCATTTGGACTTAGCCTTTATCAGGCCCAAAGCCCCTTTAAATAAACCAGGGGAGCTCTCAAGAAGAAAGCAAATATAGCACTAATCTCTCAGATTGAGCCAAAGAAAATAGAGGAAGCTCTGAAAGACTCAAGTTGGTTGCAAGCGATGCAGGAAGAGCTAGATCAATTCGGAAAAAATCTAGTATGAAAACTGATACCCAAGCCTGAAAAAGCTCCTATAATTGGAACAAAGTGGGTCTTCAGAAATAAGCTGAATGAAGATGGAAAAGTTGTAAGAAACAAAGCTAGATTAGTTGCTCAAGGATATTCACAACAAGAAGGAGTCGACTTTGACGAAACCTTTGCCCCAGTAGCTCGACTGGAATCTATACGAATTCTTCTTGCATATGCATCCTTTAAGAGATTCAGGCTATTCCAGATGGATGTTAAAAGTGCCTTTTTAAATGGTTTCATTGAAGAGGAAGTATACGTGAAACAACCTCCTAGGTTTGTAGATTCAAAGTTTCTCTACCATGTGTATAAGTTGACCAATGCGCTGTACGGACTAAAACAAACTCCACGAGCATGGTACAAAAGACTCAACTCATTTCTTATTAATCACAGATTTACAAGAGGTAAAGTAGACACTACCCTGTTTATTAAAAGATCATCAGAAGGTAATCTCATTATTCAAATTTACGTTGATGATATTATCTTTGGTAGTGATAATCCTTTTCTGTGCAAGGAATTTTCAAATCTTATGCAAAGTGACTTCAAAATGAGTATGATAGGAGAACTGACGTTCTTTCTTGGACTTCAAATTCAACAATCTGAAGAAGGAATGTTCATATGTCAAGCAAAATATACAAAGGAGTTGATCCAAAATATTCGGTATGAGCAATGCTAAAGCTATTGGCACACCAATGAGTCCTTCAACAAGTCTCAACAAAGACGAACAGGGAGTTCCTGTTGATGAAACTAAGTGTCGTGGAATGATTGGCTTACTTTTTTATCTAACTGCTAGTCGACCGGATATTATGTTTATCACACCTCCTTTTTCCCGAAGGGATAGGGAGTTTTTTCAATTTAAGTGACATTAATCGAAATGGGATTATTTATTTATTCAGAGTCGCCACTTGGAATAATTTATGGTGTCCCAAGTCACCGGTTTATTTTAAAATCCTAGATCGAGGAAATTTGACTCTGTTTGAAAGTCTGCGAAACCAGAAGACCGAGTAAGGAATTCTGTTAATCCGGGAGAAGGTGTTAGGCACTCCCGAATTCCGTAGTTTTAGCACGGTCGCTTAGAAATTTATACTCGCTTATTTTAAATATTTACTCATTTTAGGACCTATTTTTATTTTATCTTTTACCGCTACTAATCACTTGATTATTTGTACTTAAAGAATTATCTTGAAACGAGTTACGCGTACGTATACTCATTTAGTTTGGTGCGTCAAGAATCATTTCACGCATACGCGTACACAATTCACAACACTTAGTTTATTTAAGAAAAGGCTCGGCCAAAGTCGCGCGAACGCGTACCTTGATATTATTTGGAAAATCGTAATCATGTCACGCGAACATGTACCCAATCACGATAGTATTTTAAAAAATCGCGCCTAAAAGCATTTCTACGAGTATTTGATTAAGGCGTTTTATTTACTAAGAATGTTTTACCGTGGTCACGCGAACGTGTACCTTGGTTTGTTTTTGACATTATAACTATGTCACGCGTACATGTATGTAATTTTAATAGCTATTTCGATTATGAATATACCTAAAGTTGAAGTTATGTCTCTAAGCAAAATACCCTATGTCGTGTAACTAGGTGTGAAGGTTCAATACTATGTGATACATTTATTCAATTTAGTTGGGCAGCTTATGTATTAACTGCCTTCGCTTGGATCTCCCATGATAAATTTTTGAGGATATTCAGGTTCACTTCTCCATTCATTTGGACAAACTATATGAGTAGTTAACTCCTTCAGAGATTCTGGTTGACTGTTGCTGGTTTCATTAGTTGACTCTATCACACCATCAGACTTATTAGTCGACTCTTGAGATTTGCTTGTCTCCAGAATTTCTTGAGTTTGATCTTCATCACCTGCAATAATTCCTTTCTCGGCCAAAGTGTTATTTTCATCAAATATAACATGTACTGATTCTTCCACACACAGTGTACGTTTATTATACGCTCTAAAAGATCTACTATTTAATGAATAACCCAGAAAAATACCTTCATCACTTCTTGGATTGAATTTTTCAAGATTGTCCTTACCATTATTGTGAATGAAACACTTACTTCCAAATGGATGAAAGTAACTAATATTGGGTCGTTTACCTTTCCACAATTCATAAGGTGTTTTCTTCAAAATAGGCCTTATGAGACATCACTTGAGAATATGACATGCAGTACTTATCCTTCTGCCCAGAAGTGATTTGGCCATGAATATTCTAGTATCATATTTCTTGCCATATCTTGCAGGGTCCTATTTTTCCGTTCAACGACTCCATTCTGTTGAGGTGATCTCAGTGCAGAGAAGTTGTGAGTATATCCTTGATCATTACAAAAATCTTCAAATGCTCTGCTCTCAAATTCTCCTCCATGATCACTTTGGATTGTTGTAATCAGATACCCCTTTTCTCTTTCAACCTTCTTACAGAAAATCTCAAAATTTTTCAATGCTTCGTCTTTATGAGATAAGAAAATCACCCAAGTAAAACGTGAGTAATCATCAATAATAACAAAAGCATATCATTTCCCTCCTATGCTAGCAGTTCTAGTAGGTCCAAATAAATCCATATGGAGTAGTTGCAAAGGCTTAGAAGTAGATACAATATGCTTGTTTTTGAAAGAGTTTCTAGTTTGTTTTCCAATTTGACAAGCATCACATATATGATTTCTAGAGAAATTTAGTTTAGGCAAGCCAATAACTAACTCATGCTTGGAAAGTTTTTCTATCAAATGCATGCTTGCATGACCATTTCTTATGCCATGACCATGGATCATCAGATATAGATGTTAAACAGATATGACCATCAATATTTTCAAATCCATCAAGAATGTAGACATTTCCATACCTTTTACCTGGGAGGTTTATTTTACTTGTCTCATCTTCAATAGCACAATCTGTTTTCTTGAACTTTACTTCATACCTTGAGTCACATAGCTGATTTATACTCAGAAGATTGTAGTTAAGTCCGACAACAAGATAGACCTCAGTGATATCACAGTTATTATTGAAAGGGACTGTTCCGGTACCGACAATTTTTCTTTTGAATCATCATCGAACTTAACACTTCCTCCATCTATTTTTGTAACTTCTTTGAACAGGTTTTTGTCACGTGTCATGTGACTGGAACATGCACTATCTAAGTACCATTTTCCTTTACGACTCCTCCTGTGATGTTCTTGCAAAACATAGTGATTACTTTTTTTAGGTACCCAAGCTTGCTTGGGTCCTTGTTGGTTAGTATTACTCGACTCAGAATTGTTTTTGGTTTTCCAAATCCAACCTGAAACATTTGATTTACGAAATTGACAAAAAGAATATTTGTGTCCACTTTAGTTACAGTAGTGACAAGTAACTCCTGATCCACTTTTGGATCTTTCATTGGTATTAGTATTGGTGGACTCTATTGTGGCTGGTTCTTCTCCAATTGACTTGTAAGTCGCCTGGTTTGACCTAATAGAACTGTGACTTATGGATGCATGCCATTTAGTTGCATTTGCAATTCCTCAAACTCTTCTTGAAGTACTTCTTTTTCAATTTCATATACTTCATGTTTGAGTTTCCAGTCTTTTACTTCTTTGTTGAGTCTCTTTAGTTCATTCATCAATTTTTGAGACTCTTTCAAAGTAAGGTCAAGAATATCCTGCAATTCATTACACCTTTCACAGTTATAAGATCTTACCTCGCTTGTTTCACCTCGTGCCATGAAACAATTCTCATCGTCGTCTTTGCATTCATCGTCTGAAGTGTCCTCATCTGTCCAGCATCCTGAAAGTTTGTTCATGTCGTTTTCCAGAATTGTCATGAAGCAAAGATTTGCTATCTCTTCGTGTTCTGAACTGTCTTCATCACTCCAGCTTCCAAATGATTTGTTTTTGTTGAAGCCTCTGGAGGTTTTCCTTTTTAGTTCAGGACATTCAGCTTGAACATGTCCAGATCTTCCACACTCATAGCATTTGCCATCATTTTTGTCTTGTTGATTGTATTGCCTGAATCGCCTGGGTGGCATCCTTCTTCTCGCATTCCTGAATCTTCTCATTAAACCATCCATGTTCCTTGACACCATGGCAATATCTTCTTGAAGAGCTTCAAGGTCATCATCGAGATCATTTTCTACTTTTTCAGTTGTGGGCTTGAATGCAACTTTTTTCTTCTTTTCTTCCTGGTTTGTTTTCTTGAGATGAGTTTTCTCGAATGCTATGAGTTCTCCTCGAAGTTCATCATATGATAGCTTACTTAGATCCTGTGATTCAAGTATAACTACTTTTATCTGCCAAGTAGTGGGTAGGCTCCTGAGAATCTTCCTAACTTGATCACCAGTTGAGTATGGTTTGCCAAAAGCTTTTAGATCGCTAATGATTTTGCTGAATCTGGCAAACATCTTTTCAATGGATTCTCCTTCTTTCATCTGAAGGAGTTCATAATCATGAACCAACATGTTGATATGTGTTTCCTTTACTTTGCTGGTTCCTTCATATGTAACTTCAAGTTTGTCCCACATCTCTTTGGCTGTATCGCAACTGGAGATTTTCTCGTACTCTTCACCACTTATAGCATTGTAGAGCAAATTCCTTGCCTTATTGCTAACTTGTACAACTGCCATTTGCTCATCTGTATATGAATCTATATCTTGAGGATCAGCAAGCGGTTGAGCGGCAGCCGCCAGAGGATAGTTCCCCTTTTTGATAACTCTCCAGACTTTAACATCATAGGCTTTTGCGTATATTTCCATACGCACTTTCTAGTGAGAGAAATGTTGACCATTGAAGTACGGTGGCATCACTTGCGATGTTCCTTCTTGGAAGAGTGCTCCTATAATAACTTGATTTGCCATGATCTTTTCTCACAATTGCTGTTAAACAAAAGAAAAATGTGAGCCTCGCTCTGATACTAATTAAAAATACAAGGGGGGGGGGGTGAATTATTTATTTTTATATTTTATTCACTACAAGTTGACTAGTTTTCTAATTAGTCGACTGGATGTAATAAAGTGATAACAGTAAGAGCAGAATTCAAAATGCAGAAATAAAGTGCAGGAATTAAAGACATCGAAATTTTTATACTGGTTTGGATTCAATGTGAATCCTAGTCCAGTCCCCTTGGGTTGCAAGGGAGTTCTCTTTCAGTGAATGATTTTCTCGAGTACACAGTGAGTGGTGTGGTTTACACCAATGGTTCAGTTCCTATATCACTTGTTTCTCTTTGATACAATGCCTCACCAGTATTGTTCTCTCTTTCTTCTCTAACTTGTTACACAACGGATCTAGTAGAGCTACAACGTTTGCATTAGAACAAAGAGAGGGTATTTGGTTCGATCAAAGTATGTCTTTATAAGCCTTAAGGATGTGTAAATACTATGTAGGAGGCCGTTTGCTGAAGAGATTTGACAACCCAAGAGATTTGAACCTTGAAAAGAGATTGATTCTTTCCAAGAATAAAGTTATTTGCCGTTGCTCTTCCATGATGAGAGGGTATTGATAGCCTTCCTTTTAAAGATCTTGATGCGCGAGTTTCCTCCTTGATTGTTGATCCTTCCGAAAATAGCAGCTTGCCGTTGCTCTTCCTTGATGAGAGATCATTGATAGCTTTCCTTCTACAGGCTTTGATACCGCGGATTTTCCTCCTTGATTATTGCTCCTTCCGAAAATAGAAGTTTGATTAATCATCTTGCAAGATCTTCGATGCTTCTTTTCCATATCAATCAATCTGTGGTTGATTGCCATTCCGAATCTCTAGTTGGTTAATTGATTCCTTCCTTTTGATTTCTTCAGTCTTGGATGCTTTCCTTGAGTTCCTGTACCAATAATAGTTATATTATTTTTCATCATTAAAACTGAAATCTAACACTTTCTACCTTATCAGCATAATAGTTCACCCAAAAACAGATTGTCCGTCCAAGAGGACCATCCAAATACTGGAGGATACATTGAGACGCTTTTCCTTGATTGGGTTTGCTTATAATACGGTTACCAAGATAATTTTTACAGGGTGTGAGGCATTGTACGACACATACTCCAAAGCTCGATTTTGTTGGTTTGAGACTAATAAATCTATGCAATTGGGATCACATTTGGTATATGATTCTTTGGACAAGGTCCAATTGATTAAGGAGAGGTCACTAGTAGCACATAATAGACAGAAAGCATATTTTAATTGCAAATACCAAAACTACTGGAGTTTATGATCAGTGACCATATATTCTTACTAGCGTCACCCATGAAATATGTTATGAGGTTTTCAAAGAAAGGAAAATTTAGCCCTCGGTATATCAGGCATTTTGAGATCTTTGAGAAAATAGGTTCAGTAGCATACTGATTGCACTTCCTTCCAAGTAACCTATAATATACTAACCGTTTCGTGTGTCCATATTGAGAAAGTACGTGTTGAATCCGTTGCACATTCTTAAAACACTTGCCATATAATTGATAAACTTATTTTAAAGAAGAACCTATGAAAATGTCACGGTCCAATATATCCAAGTTGTGATTGGCAACCAACACTCCCTGTGTCGAGGAAACCATAAACAAACAACACGAATCGCAACCCAAATGTAAACAAGCCAAATGAGAGGACATGAATAGAATAAATAAAGTCTGAATATTCAACTACAACATGAAAGTAACCTTACAATACATGACATGGTAGTATAACTCATGAGCTACTGAGAGTGATTCAATTCATAAAAGTATATACAATAGGATTTACTAGAAATAAAATAAAGGAATAACTTGGTACCGCTATTAAGCTAGAGAATTGACTCACAATTGGTATGGAAAAAGCCATCCAATGCTTACTCTCGAACTCCACTAGAACACGAATTCATATCTTCATATAGAGTGCATAAAGTAGGGTGAGTATATGGGAGTACTTAGTAAATATCATTGACTTCCCCTAACAAAGTACTGGTGAGAGTAAATATACATGATCTCCAGTTGGTAAATGAACCTTGCTTCTATCTCTTTCTATGAATTCCTTACGACTACCTAGTAAATTCAAAATGTGAACCATATGGTTAGATGATCCTGTGTCTATTATCTAGCTAGAAGTACTAGATTAAACACTAGAGCAGTTACAGTACTTGCTACTACTGCATTAGTTGATGTTTCTACCTCTTTCCCTTTGTTCAACATCTAAAGAATTTGATTGCATTGTTCGTGAGTAAAGAAAGGAGCTAAGGATGATGATAAAGTGATGGAAGAACCTTGTATCTCTTGAGACTAACTTCGGGCACATAAATTCGGCCATGCATCTGCAACTCCCCATCATCTCCAATAGTAACCTCCTTGGAATCACCGTGCTGCACCGTGTCCTTAATGATAAGCAAGTTGGGGATCATTTTATTGATGCACCTTAATGCGCTCAAACAAGGAAGACCGTGAAACCATGCAAGCAAGAACCCGGCTAGACTCCGAAACATCTAACCTAACAAACCTGTTGGCCAAATCATGAACATCCAAAGCTAACGGTCTCTCCCAAACTGGAACAAAAAGAATACTCCCCATGCTCTCAGCCTTCCTACTCAAAGCATCACCCACCACATTGGCCTTCCCAATATGATAGAGAATGGTGATATCATAGTCTTTTAGAATCTCAACCCACCTCCATTGATTGAAGTTCAGATCCTTTTGCTTAAACAAATGTTGTAGACTCTTGTGATCCGTGAACACCTCACATGACATGCCATAGAGATAATACCTCCAAATCCTTAGCGCGTGAACAATAGCTGCCAACCAAGCCTAGAAAACTCCAGATCTCAGTAGTAGAAGACGATTTGGCCCAACACTGAACTGCCTCCAGCTTCTTTGGATCTACCTTAATCCCCTCACTGGACACTATGCAGTCAAAATATGCCACCGAATCAAGCCAAAACTCACATTTGGAGAAGCATATAGCTTCTTTTCCCTCGAAGTCTAGAGCATGATCCTCAAGTATTGCTCATGATCCTCTCGGCTGCAAGAATACACCAATATGTCGTCAATGAAACGATGAAGAAGGAATCGAGATATAGATGGAATACACTATTCATCAAGTGCATAAAGGTTGCTGGGGCATTGGTCAGTCCAAAAGACATCATCAAAAACTCATAGTGAGTCTTGAAAGCCGTCTTCGGAATATCTGAATCCCAAATTTTCAACTTATGGTACCCCGATCTCAAGTCAATCGAGAATACTCGAGCTCCTTGAAGTTGATCGAAAAAATCATTAATACGCGGTAATGGGTACTTGTTCTTGACTATAACCTTGTTCAGTTGTTTGTAGTCAATACGCATCCTCATAGAGCCGTCTTTCTTCACAAAAAGAACTGGGGCACCCCAAGGCGAAACACTCGGTCTGATGAAACCCTTATCAAGCAACTCCTAAAGTTGTTCCTTTAATTCCTTCAACTCCACTGGTGCCATGCAATATGGTGGAATAGAGATGGATTGAGTGTCCAACACCAAGTCAATATCAAAAACCGATATCCTTCTCGGGTGGGAATGCCCTATAGGTCTACTGGAAATATATCTAGAAGATATCTCACTACCGAAACTGGCTTAACGTAGGACTATCAGCACTAACATCCCTCACAATGGCTAAATATGCCAAGCACCCCTTTGCAACCATTCATTGTTCTTATAGAAAGGACACCACAAAACTTGAAACATGACTCAATATACCTCTCAACTCCAATCTCGGCAACCCTGGCATAGCCCACGTCACGGTCTTAGCGTGATAATCTACAATGGTGATAGTGCAAAAATCGATCCATGCCCAAAATCACATCAAAGCCCAACATATTGAGTAACAGAAGGTCAACCTAGGTCTTATAATGCCCAATGATGACCAAACATGACTGATAGATGTGGTCTACCACAATAGAATCCCCCACAAGCGCAGACACATAAACAGGGGTACTCAAAGAATCTCGAGACATATCCAGATATGAAGCAAAATAGGACGACTCATACGAATAAGTGGAACCCAGATAAAATAAAACTGATGCATCCCCATGACAGACCGGAACAACACCTGTGATGACAGCATCTGATGCAACAGCCTCAGTCCTACTGGGAAAAGCTTAGCAACGGGCATGTCCTCCCCCTCTAGGGCACCCTCTACCCGCCTGTCCTCCACCCTAGTTGGTTGTGTAGTTGGAGTAGAGACTAGAGCAGCAACCATAGCTTTTGAACCCTGTGGAAGTGCACCCCTCCTAAGTCTGGAACAGTTCCTCACCATATGCCTAAAATCACCATACTCCAAACAACCTCTCTATAGGCGTGGCTGCTGGAACTGTGTCAGACCCAGTCTGCTAGAATAACCATTGTAGGCACCCCGTGCAAGCAGTACACTGGAAAGTGGTTGTGCAGAATGGGTGCTCTCAGGTCCCTGAATAGCTGAAGCACTACGAGTAGCCTGAAGTGCAGAATGAACTGGTCAACTGACATAACCTCTGCCATGGCGGGCTGAAACTGCAGAGAGGGAACCACTAAATTCTCTAGAATATCGTGGCCTCTTGGCCTCCTTGTACTCTCTCTCCTGGTCACAAATACACTTCAACCTCCAAGAGATCTCCACAACCTACTAGAATGGAGTATCATTCTCCAACTCTTGTTCCATCCTAAATATGAGACTTTAACCGAGTCCCTCAATGAATCTGTGAACTCTCTCTGTAACTGTGGAAAGCAATGCAGGTGCATGGCGGGATAACTCATTAATCCTCATGGCATACTCTGACACTATCATAGTCCCCTAA